ATTTCAGGCAAGAGCACACTTGAGTAGAATCACCGACATTCCATAAGCTTGTTGGATAGCTTCCTCAAGTCCCTGTAGGGGATTCAAACCCACAGCTGTGAGGGGCAAGTGGTTTAAAGTCAATGACCACTGGGCCATGGTTGCCCCAGAGTGTGACCTGGTTTGGAAAAAGAATGCGATCTCTTTTGACATTAGTCTGGTTTGTGGATAGAGTGTGATTCAGTTTGATGATTGTAATCTTGTTTGGCAATAGATTGTGATCCAGGTTTGGCAATCCAGTCTGATCTGGTTCTGCAATAGAGTGTGATTTTGTTTGGCAATGGAGTGTGATCCAGTTTTGCAAAAGTGTGGGATCCGCTTTTGCGATAGAAAGTGATCCGGTTCTGCAATAGTGTGTGATTCAGTTCTGCAATAGAGTGTGATCTGGTTTGGTATAGTTAAAGTAATCACAATTTGAGGATGATCAGTTTTGACTTGTAGATACTAACCTAACGAAATTTATTATGTGAATTAATAACTTTTCAAAATTTACCAAACAGTTGAATTATTCTGCACTAATTAGATACCTATTTAATAGGTTTTATTCTGTAAATAAATTAATTTTAAACTTTGAAAGTTTTCTTTTGTTTTGATTTCATAATAACATTAATTAACATAGTTGGAACAATATTTATGCATTTGTTTCCCAATAGGGTTACATTATTCTGTTACTAGCATAGTTACTTGTTCAACATTTACGTAAAATAAATATGTTCTTGTCACAGAATTTAAGAAGACTGTTCTAGAATTGAGATTTTTTTTTTGAGGAAATGTAAGGAAAGTTTAACGGAGGTGCTGGGAAAGTTTAATCAGCGTTCTTTTCTTATTTAAAGTATTGATTATTGAGAAATCAACGGGAAGTAATCAAATTTATACATAAACACACGCATGGCTGGTGTCTGTCCTGTAACTGGGTTACTACTAGTGCAATAACTCGGGATATAGATTTAATAGAAAACACATATTAAGACAGTTAAGAAAATAGTAGTAAAAGAGAGGCAAGTGTGAATGTGATAAAATGGTTGATTTATTTCACATCTTCTAAATTGACGTCATTCCCCTCACGGTCTTTAGCTGCTACTTTGGGGAATTTGTCCGACAGTGTAGCTGAAACCTGATAAGAATGTATGTATGATTTGATGTTGATAAATGTTATTGAACTGATGGAAAATGCATTGAGATTCAGTAGTGAATAAGTAAACAAACTGGATATTATTGCAATTATTGAACTTATGTTCAAAAGAAATTTAGCTGATATAGAAAGAGTTTAGGTACACTAGTTATTGAACTTATTGAAACAGTTGAAATATAGAATTAATGTAACACATTGAAATATTATGAAATGTTGTAAAAACTATGGATGGGCTTATCCAATTTTAGTTTATTAAAATACCAATGGAATGTTCCAGATTTCACTCTCAGGCTACAGAAAGAACCTAGTCTTAAGTCAAAGTCTGTGATACGGTATGAATTCAGCAAAGTAAATAGTTCATAACCTATTCATACCAAAATAACTAGTAAGTTATAGCAGGTGTCTGTGGTTCTTGATGATACTGTTACATTAATAAACTATGTACCAATTACTTATCACTAGGACAAAATGTCAGGAGTGAGAAGCAGTAATGTTGTGTTTTTTTTGTCTTTGACATTACCTAAATGTCTGTAGATAGCATACTGAGAATTACATTCAGACTGTTCTATTTGAATATAGTTTATTCAGAATTTATTTTTAGTTTGATTGTTTTAGAAGCTAAAAGTTTATTGGAACCAACTAGTACTAAAGCAATGAGTGTTTAGTTTCTTGCTCATGGCCCCTGAGGGGCTTTGAACCCACACTGTCAGCATTTAGATTTTACCCATGAGTTTAAGGTAACAATAACAATTATATTCATTGTTAATCAGGGCAGAGACTTTTAGATTTTTTAAATAATTGATTTTTAGCATGAATGTAATCAACGCTTACAAATTTTTTTGAACCACTCCGGTGTCCAAGTCCTGGACCTAGCCAGCATCATATAGTGTTAAATATTAGTGATAAATAATAATGGGGTTTGAACACATGACCTCTGTGTTGAGGGGCAGACATGTTTACCATTACTAGACTTATTTTTTTGATGCGTTTATTTAAGGTCGCCGCCGGAAAGCCCATATGGGCGACCGTACACTCAAGTCGGGTCATCCTAGAGCGTCCCGCTGAGATTTTTCGTCGATTTTTTTCCAGCTTTATTGGTGGAGGGAGACCCCAGGTGCCCCTCCGGGCATTATTTAAGGCACGAGCGGGCACCTGGGTAGAACCACCTACCTTCCGTAAGCCAGCTGGATGGCTTCCTCACATGAAAGATTTCGACCCGAGTGAGGATCGAACCTACAGTGGTGAGGGACCTGTGATCTCAAGTCAACGACTTTAACCACTCGGCCACGGAGGCCCCCTTACTAGACTTAACTCTCTTACAAGCTTTTTATATACCTTTATGTTGTAACTGGCATGTTTGGAATTTGGCTAGTATTTGGAACCCCTCTGATATTTGGATATCAATTTATATATATATAAAATGTAATTGCAGCAAAAATCAGGCAAAAAATAGCAAAATGTTACACCATGGTCTTGTAACACACCTTTCTTATATAAAAGACTCCAATTACAGGGGAACATGATACTGGCAATTTTACATACAGTGGCACCATTGTCCTTTGGTTGGGGAATACTTGGGGAAACTTATTGATATTTTTTACTACAAACTCTGTTATCTTTATTTTTCTGGCATTTGTTTTACGTGTTTCTCTTTTATCAATAACCTACTTGATTTAAATGATGTTATTTCCCATCATAGACTGTGATATGTTTTTATTATGTACTATTTATATTCAGCTTTATTGTTTACCTTTGTATTCTCTGGTATGTTAATGTGTTACTGTGTCAATGTAAATGTTTTCTACTGGATTAACAGGTGGGTAATTTGTTTTTGTATTAGGATTAAGGGCGTATTTCCTACTTTGAACATTTTTTTTCAGGTTATGTAATTAGAAGTAACTTTTTGTAAATTTATTATCATCAAGTACTGGTACATTATATAGCTTTTACAACACCCCATATTTGTAACATGGATTTTCAATAGACAGTGGTATTTATATGCTTGAACTTGGCTTTTGCATTGCTGTCTGGTTAGCTCAATAGATAGAGGGTTGGACTGTGAATCGGGCGACCCTGGTTTGATTCCCGGACTGTTCAGGTCATTTTTCGTTTTGATTGATCATGGAATCTTTTCTATGGTCATTGGCCCTTTATTTCTACTCTGGTATGTACAGAAGTTTCAGTTCCTTGCAAAAGTGAAGGAAACTAGTACTGGTAAACTGCTTGACAGCCTGCCCAGGAACGATGCGGTGACTGAATTGTACTCTGGTAAATTCAGTGTAGCTTACTGTCATGATCCAGATGTATATGTCTATCTCTGGACAAAACCCTCCAATCGCCTAGTTTGCGGAAAATTTCGTAAAAATTACCGGCTAAAAAACAAAGAGTGTGGACCATAATCACAAAGCATGGATGTGCTGGATGATATTGGTCCGCACTGGTAGTGCAAAAGTAGATAGACTCGGATTGAAGAGATCATCAGGGCTGTTTCACATAGCAACATACCCAATCAAATGTTATGTGTTTCATATACGGCGTATTTCACTATTCAAGTCTATTTAGGGGATCTTCAGTTATAATGATTTTGTGAAGGCATATTTGTCTTTTCTTTCTTTTGCAAAACATTTATTTATGTCTTGTAATTTTTATTAATTGATTTTTAATGATGAAATCTTCTGACATTAAGATTGCTTGTAGTCTGGCACTGGAAACTATTTATAGTATTTGAAAATGATTTGTTGGTTGTATCATTCATTTCACCATGAAAATTGAAATGTTTTGCTTATCTGTTATGATGTTTTTCGCAGGATCTGTCTTAAGTTTTTATTCCTCTATTGCTCATTCTGAAATATTCGTTGTCTGATCGAATGGAAAATTTTTTATGATTTCAGTTGTAATATTTGTTTGAAAGTTTTTTTTTGCTGCGCTGAAGACAGCGATCAGATTTCTAATTTTAGATTCACCTTTTTGCCTTTTCTGGATTTCTTATCATTGACAAGCTAAATCTTTAGAAATTTTGTTTCTATTGTGCTCTCGATGGGTGATGTATTGGAATTTTCCTGGCTTATTGTTGTCAAATGTGGTATTGCGATTAGATGTGAATAAGGCGACTGATATCTCTAAGTGCTATAAATAGATTCAAGCCAGACCGACACACCGTTGAAATGGCTGTTCTGTGAAATTTAAGAGACAAGTGTAATTTTTGTATAGTAAATGTTGTGTGAGCATGATATATGCTTATATGTTAATTTGTTGCATGTTTGAACTAGAATTCAAGATTTGCGTAATGTATTGTGTTGACTTGACACATGTTTATATGAAACTATATTGCCAATCTGAATTTTGTCGATAGAATATTTCAGATTTATATTTTGTAATGTGTGAACTTGACACACGTTCATTTATATAACTTTCTCGTCTTTATTGATTTTGCTGAATTACATTGGTAATTTGCAACAAGGCGGAAAAAATACACATGAATTTCACTGTTATCTACAAAGGGATAAAAGGTGTATGAAAAAGTTTACATGATTGCGTAAAAGTTTTAGGATTATTCCTGAATTTTAGGATTATTAGACATGAAAAACCCTCCTTTTTCTACGTAAGGATGTTATCAAATCCAGGATTAGCAGGATATTGTTATTGCCAACTTTCACCCTGGCACATGTACTGTAGTAGAATTAAGATTTTTGTGTGTGTTTATTTGAATGCATCAAATGTAGCTTGAAAAAAAATTTTTGATGTATCTTTAGATATAAGAAATTGAATGTTATTTTGAGATTGTTATAAATTGCTGAGTCATTGTAATGAATTATTTTTTCTGTTGCAGGTAGAAACATGCCAGATCATCTGTTCTACCAGCACAGCACAACCAACATTTGAACGCATCCCAAAATTTTACCTCCAATTCTCTTCATTCATAAATATCAGCAGAAAGTTTTGGAAAGAGACGGACTATCTGATTGGAGGAGAGACACACTTTTAAAAAAAAGTTACAGTTAATTTGATTGGAAGAAATCATAATCTATATAGAAGAGGACTTTTGATTGGACATTGAAAAAAGAGTCAAAACGTTTGATTGGAGGAGAGTTTAAAGTAATAGAAGTTTTGATTGGTTGAAAGAAATAGGTAGAAAAAAATGGATTTACCCGTCCCAACTAAGACATCAACGGATGGTCAGGCACCAGGCTTACCATTAAGGGATCTTGGTTCCTTTGTGCATTCATCAACTGTGAGCGATGCTGAAATTAAAGGTAAATTTCTTTTATTTGTTCTCTTTTATTTGTTCATCATTAACAGACATTGTTTAAGTTATTTAAAAATTTAGGCCTGATTTTAAAGAACTGTTCAGATGAACTGTTTGATCATTTGATAGACTAGGAGACTGACCTACAATTTTAAACATTTGTGTGAAACAGTAAGATCTTAGATCAAGGAGGGCTCTCATTTACAAGCTAATGTATATGGCCAATAACTGTTCTACCATACATTAACAGACTTTATTGATGTGAATGTACTTATTTAAGAATAAGTCAGGATAAAAGATGCCCTTCTTAATCCTTAATATATGCTGTCTTTATATGATTTGTTGATTTACTGTTAACCTGCTGAAATTGTGTAATGGATTTGCCCAGAACCTGCTGAAATTGTGTAATGGATTTGCCCAGGAGCTGTGAATTTATTCATACATTCAAAGTAAAGTTTCAGTATCAAGATACAAAAAAAGAGAGTAATAATGCATTATAAGTCAGCATGGTAAACTTAAGTAGGCATGGTAAAGTATACATATATTCATGCTTATGTTATTAGTCCCCTACCGGTTTACCGGAGGGGACTTTAGGTTTACCCTCCGTCCGTCTGTCCGTCCGTCCGTCAGTCCGTCCGTCTGTCCGTCCGTCAGTCCGTCCGTCCACAAAACTGGATCCCGCGATAACGCAAAAAGTACTGAAAATATTTTAATGAAACTTGATATATGGATAGATGGCAGTATGGAGATTATGCACGTCTTTTTCTTTTCTTCCTATGTTGAAAATTCTGGTTGCTATGGCAACAAATAGACTGAAAATATGGCAAATTTTACACATAACCTGGATCCCGCGATAACGCAAAAAGTACTGAAAATATTTTTATGAAACTTGATATATGGATAGATGGCAGTATGGAGATTATGCATGTCTTTTTCTTTTCTTCCTATGTTGAAATTTCTGGTTGCTATGGCAACAAATAGACTGAAAATATGGCAAGTTTTACACATAACCTGGATCCAGTGATAACACAAAAAGTACTGAAAATATGTTTATGAAACTTGACATATGGGTAGATGGCAGTATGGAAATTATGCACATCCTTTTTTATCTTCCTATGTTGAAAATTCTGGTTGCTATGGCAACAAATAGACTGAATTTCAAGATTTCTGATTCTAGTTTTTAAGTTTTTTCACTATAAGTTCTTTATTTCTTAAGGTATTTTCTTCAAACTTTAAATATAAGTTGCTTGTCATCAACCACATCATATGTGACAAGGTTTACAACTCTAGCACAAAATTTATCAGAATTACCTCCTTGAACTTAAAATTTTCATGAAAAAACATTGTTTTTTTTAATAACTTCTTTTTCTGAATGTATCTACTTCAAACTTCATATAATGTTTCTTATTGTCACTCAACATTTATGAGTGTTCAATACTCTAGCAAGACTATTTCCAGAATTATGCCCCTTTTGAACTTAGACTTTTTTTTGAGAAATTGGTAATTTTTACTCCAACTTCTTCAATCATGATAGGATTTTAAAAATGTTATATTTTGATAACAGGGATGTTTAAAAAATAACTTTAGAGTGTCCTTCAGTCCGTCTGTCTGTACATAAAAACTGTTTCCTGTGATCACTTTTAAAGAACTTTTTCAACAAATTTACTTAAAATACGAACCTAAGTGAATGGCCAATGGCCCTTCAGAATGTTGCTTGGGCTCTTACCTGTAGGGGACTTATGGATTGCTTGCAATACTATGATAATTGCTTGTTTTTCATAAACTATTTGGAAATTAGCCAGTTGTCATCTGTCCACTTGGCTCAATATGGAGAGCATCAGATTTGTAGTCCGGGCCCACTGGTTCGATCCTTTGGCGAGGTGGAATTTTCTCCTCGGACATTAAGTCTTCTTTATATGGTCCTTTGTCTCTGACACCACTGATCCAAAGGTAGATGGTCACTGCTCCAAAAATGATTTAAAGCTGGCATGAAAAACAAATGAATAAAAAAAGAAAGGAAAAAAAGTCTTCCATACGATAGGAATGAAGTATAATTGTAGCATCAATACTATAAAGTAAACATTCTATATCTATGTAATCTGTAACAGAATTACATGCCTTATTAAATATTGATGAACATCAGAGAAGCTTGGGATAAATCTTCATCATTATGGAGACATGCAATGAATTTATTCCTTACTGAGGTAGAAGTTTCATTCAGTATTGAGGGATCCAATCCCTCTATGGTTTTGGAATTAAGTGGCTGATAAAGCCATGAAGGTAGATGTTTTTAGTAGCCCTCAACATGTACCTTTTAGTGTTTGCTGAGTGACTAGTGTCCTAGTAAGATAGTAGTGTTTTTTGGGGGGAGGGGGTAAATTTAGTGTTTTTCTTGCATTTTTTGCCCTTACAGTGAATGATGAATAACAAAACTCTGCTAATTCGGGGATTAATGGAGTAAAGAATATTTGGGGGTAAAATACACCTTGTATTTTTGAACACCATCACATGCAAAAGAAACCCTTAAGGTTTCAATGAAAATGAATGAAACAGTTATTAGTTGTTGAGACCCATGTGGCTGCATCATAGCAGGTGATATTTTGATTTTGTGGTGGAGGGGGGAGTTTATATTGCATAACTTTTGTGGGTTGTTGGTGATTAAAAGCTTCCTGATTTTTCCAGAAATAATATGCGAGCTTCCTGATTTTTCCAGAAATTATGCGTATTTTGGCATGTAGCGTGCTTTTCTGCTTAAGTGCATTAATGGATTGATAATATAATAATTGATCATCATTAATGAAGAGTTGTTTTAACTGATTAGTTTGTTACATTATTTACAGATCATAGATCTGCAGACACAGTATATGTGGGGCTTCATCTCCCACGGCAACGTCGCAGTCGGCAGAAGCGTGGTCACAAGAGGAAATCATCGCAGCCGCACCTGGACGCTACGCCATCAATGACTGAAGGTGATTATTATATATCAATCCGTTGTCTGCTTAGAGCAGTGGCAATTACTTTGCAAACAGCCTGGTACCAGACAAAACGTCAAGCACTGCAGCGTCTTGACTGGTACCAAGCTGAGAGTCGCCCTCATTTTTTTATTTCAAGGAAATTGGTAAAATTGAAAAGTTAGGCAGGAGACATTTTTAGCAGAGGACAATTTCCAAACAAGCCAAAGGGATAGAATAGAAGTAAAGAATTTAGTTAAGATTTATAATAAGCAGGTGATGATTGTAATTAGCAGGGAAGAATTTATTTTTATCATTATATTATTTTATTATAAAATACACTTAAGTTTAGCTTCTATTGCTTAGTACTAGGTAGAATAAGGCACAATTTTAACTTTACCTTTACTCCATTATTTTTATTTAAATTTTTTTGTTTAACTTGGAAAATGACATTTATTATGCTCTATAAAAATAAGTAAAAACAGAGTGGGAGAATTAAACATTTTAGATAAACTTTATCTGGTGAATCTAGTGATTAAAATATGTTTGTATTCATTTCAAGGTATTAATTGTATACATTTCTTTACCTTATTAACAGTCTATTATATAGTCTATCAAAAAGTAACGTTTGAAAAGATTTACAAAAGCAAGGTATCTATTTGGCTGAATGTGAACGATGGTTTTCATGTCTCGAGATTTTAAAATTTGAATCAACAAAATTAACTGATCATATTATGTTTAATAAGAAAGCTTATAATATTTCCAAACATTCTTTTAATCAAGTTTTAATCAAACCTTTATTTGAAAACCACCTCCTTATTAAGACATATTAAACTGTAGAACTACCTCAAAAGGATATTTTATGGCAAATCATGTTTTGAGAGAAGAAATTGTGATTTTTTTCCACCGTAAGTTTTAAAATGCCCCCATTATTTCGAAGGAGAGCATATACCGGTATGCTTGCAGTTGTCTGTCAGTCCCGCTGTTTGAAGACTGAAAAAAACAGTAGAATGTAGGGGAGATTATTATAGTGTCCCCAGTTTATATAAGTTTGACTGTATCGTTACCATAACACATGCAAAATATTTCCATGTTTTAGATAGTATGGTATGGTGCAGCTTTTTAGGAAGCTCAGCTTGCAGGGACTTATGCCAGACGTTAATTAATTACTTTAGATCACTGTGTTACTATATATAGATGTGTTAATTAGTTACAGTAATTATGTTACCTTTATTTTTAACAGTCCTGTAAGATTGGCAGTTTTGATAAACTATATATTATGATAGTAGATATTATCAACATTTGTTTGTTTGTTTTTGCTCCATGCTTTTTTGCTTCTATTTTTTAGATAGCAGAACACATACAGATGTTTGTAACTGCAGTTCTTACAACTTATCAGAAAAGCTAGTTCAATGGAATGGTTTATAACTTAATAACTTGTCAGAAAGCTACAGCTCATTTAGATGGTCTTATAGCTACATGTACAACTCATTTAGGATAATTGTCTTACATCTACACCTCATTTAGGATTAATTGTCTTACAGCTACAACTCATTTAGGATAAATTGTCTTATAGCTACATGTACAACTCATTTAGGATTAATTGTCTTACATCTACAAACACATTTAGGATCAATTATCTTACAGCTGTGACTTATTTAGGATAAATTGTCTTATATCTACATCTCATTTAGGATAAATTGTCTTATAGCTACACCTCATTTAGGATAAATTGTCTTATAGCTACAACCCATTTAGGATAAATTGTCTTATAGCTACATCTCATTTAGGATAAATTGTCTTATATCTACATCTCATTTAGGATAAATTGTCTTATAGCTACACCTCATTTAGGATAAATTGTCTTATAGCTACTACTCATTCAGGATAATTGTCTTATAGCTATAACTCATTTAGGATAAATTGTCTTATAGCTACACCTCATTTAGGATAAATTGTCCTATAGCTACAGCCCATTTACAATTAATTGTTATACAGCTACATCTTGAACTATGAGTACTGGATTTATTAATCTAATATTGGACAAGTTATCTTGAACATTGAGTACAATACTTATTATTCTTTTATCAGACTAATAATCTTGAACTATGAGTACAGGATTTATTATTCCTTCTGTTGGACAATCATGTTATCTTGAACTATTAGTACAGGATTTATTATTCCTTCTGTTGGACAATCATGTTATCTTGAACTATTAGTACAGGATTTATTGGGTTTTTTTTATTGAATAAGTTATCTTGAAGTATAGGATTTATTATCTTTTAATGGGACAAGTTATCTTGAACTATTAGCACAGTATTTATTATCCTTTTAGTGGACAAGGGACAAATTATCTTGAACTATGAGTAGAGGGAAACAACCTGACATGAATAAAATATTGGATGTTTCATTTACCAATACTGACTCTTGTTTACATTTCTTGCATATTTGTTTATGTATTTGTATAAAGTTATTGCCTATTACTTGTTAATTGTAAACAGCTTTTCTGTTGTATTTTATTTGTCAGAAAACACAAGGAAATATTACCCCCCCAACGTTCTCCAGTATTAATCAGTGGTTATGTTGTTAATTATGACAGTTTCCTGGAATGGCATATTTTTTTGAATATTATAAATTATATGTTCCCTAGATACAATGTCAATGGTGTGGTTTTTCTAAATTAATTAATAAGAAGGAATTGCAACTGGTAAAGGCATCTAGTTTTGGAGGATATTTTTCTTGTTTAGAGGGCACTTCCAGCTATGGGGAAATTAATTTCAGTAATTACTGTATATTGAACTTCATTGGCTCAAACAAGTTTTCATATAAAATTTTATTTCGTATATATATTTTTAAAAAAGAAACCATAACTTATGTGTACCCTCATCATCCCGGCAGCACAATTATCATCATTATTATCATCATAATCAACAACATCATCATCATAATCATCTTCAATAGCAACATTTATGATGATTATCATCATAATTATCATCATCAAGATCTCATAAAAATTTTCACCATTGCAATCATCATCATCACCATTAACAACATCATCTCACATTTCAACACTGTCATCATTATCATCATCATCATTGTCATCATCATCATCTTCAAAATCATCAACATTATCATCATAATCAAATCAATTGTTCATCAATCACTCTAGGAACCAATCAACATCATTCTTGTCATCATCATCATCAGCATCATTATCATTGTCATTGTCATAATCATCATCTTCTTCTTCATTTAATTCTTCATAATCATCAGCATCAGTTCATCACTTACACTTTCAATCCATCGTCACCTTTGCCATCAACATGTGTTTGCTAACACTTGTACTAAACCTTTAAAGGTCACAAATTCCGTGTAGGCGTGGGTATATTACTGTCAAGTGATATAAAATGTCATTATGACAGCCAGGTTTTTTTTAATCTAGAAAAATGATAAATACCTTCTAGACACTTATCACATGGCAAGATTTTTATTTTAAGCTGTCTTATTAGTTCTGAGACTCATAAAGAAATTTTTGTTGTCTATCCTGGTTTATATTTTTGTTTCATTAATTGAATTGCCAGGTCATGGCAAAATACTTTTAGACTTTCAGTAAAATAGGTTATTAGACCAGACTGTAATAAGTGACTCCACTGAGAACTTTTGAAATGACAAGACTGGAAATATTTTTTACCATGATTTGATGGAAGGTCTAGACCAAAAAATCTTTGTGAAAAATGTTAAGATCGTTTGCTCACAAGTTTTTTTTTCTAATTGTGAAAAATGACCCAAAGCTGGAAGACCTCACTGAGATGCACTTCAGACACGAGTGAGCACATGAGTGGAACCATAGACTTTAGTTAAGCTATCTAAATGTACATAATCATGAAAGAATCCAAAAGTTCCTCTTGGGATCTGAATCCACAGCATTTAGGTTCAAGACTGTCTGTACAATCATATAACCTAAAGATTCCTTGCAAAACAAGAAATAATCATATATAAACACAAAAGAGTCACTTGAATATAACAATAGAATAAGTCTAAAACAGTGTTGTCAAGAAATATAACGAGTAATGCCTCTTTTATCATTGATTTTGGCTGGGAAGCAAATTCTCTTCAATTATCGATTAAAGACATCACAATAAAACAAAGTCATCAGCAAA